GACAGCGGATCACAGGAATCACTTGGACTGGCGCATACGACAATACAGGGCCAGCCCAATAAAAAGAGACTCCGCTGGCAGGACATGACGAAGACACGGTGTGGCGCACTTGGTCTGTAGTGTTCTTGCAGAGACGAAACGAAGCAGAGACGAAACGAATAAAAGATTTGCTGGTGTGTATTTACGGCAATCAGATCAAACGCTACAACCTATAAATACGGAAGATGCCCAACTGGGCACCGATGGAGAAAGAGTAGTAGAATGAGGATACCGAGGTTCCAACGGTTGTTTGAAATCATAGGGGTGATAATGAAGATGGGACGAGATGTCGTAGAAATCAAGACGGGACGAAGCGGTGTAAATAAAGAGGCAGGACGAGACGTTGTAAAATCGAGACCGATGGACGTTGCAGACGTACAAGCGGATGGGAGTTGTAGAAGAGGACCTGATGCCGTTTCTCGACTAAGGCCCAAAGTAAAAGTGGCGAGGTTTTTTATAGAGTGCTGGAAAACACCTTATTGCCCTTCGATGATCTGGTGTGAATAGCGTTAAGAGCATCCTGAGAAAAGTACTATGTGAATTATACATGATGATAAAAGCTATATGAGAAAAATCGCCATCGCCGATAAAAAGGAAAGATTACATACCAGACAAAAGCCACATGAAGAATTTTAATATAAAAACGAGAGTGGAAAAGTCGAATTTTCACCCCGTGGCGGAGATAGTCACAATATTGCCTCTACAATACAGAAAAGACAATCAATCATAAACGAACGTGTTTAAAAATGCAGTTGAACAACGCCTTATCACCTTACGGTGATCAAAGATATATGAGAGGTTTAATCATGCAATATCAGCTTATGCATCGTTATGCATAAAAGCTTATTCGGAAAAAATATCGATTTTGCAGTCGGCGATAAAAAGAAAGATGAAGTTTCACATAAAATGCCTGCTTTCGACATTTCATAATGATTTTATAAAAAATATTTTCATCACCGCCCGATGACA